GTACATCAACTTTGTTCTTCTGTTCTTTGCTGGTTAAAACAAGTGTTTGACTCTTGATAACCTTCCTTCTGTTGCCATTTTCCTGGTAGTTTCCTTTTTTTCTTTAATACCTCTCTTTTCCTGTTCCTGCAGTAGTTGTGCATGTGGTTTGGGTGGTATTTTGGTTTTGTATGGCCAGGTTTTGGTAGCAGGGGGGCTACAGGGGTAGCTGTAGGTAACAACTTCTGTGAGAAGCTGCCAGAACTTCCCCCATGTTGGGTTGAGCCAATGCCAGCTGGCTCCAAGATGGACATGCTGCTGGCCAAGGCTGAGCCAAACAGGAATGATAGTAATGTCTCTGTGATAGCATATCTGAAAAGGAGAGGAAAGTTACTGCACAGTTGTAATGAGGGCCAGAGAAGAGCAGGGTGAGAACACGTCAGAGGAACTGCCCTGCAGACACCAAGGTCGGTGCAGAAGGAGGAGGAAGAGGGAAGGAGGTGCTTCAGGTGCCAGAGCTGACACTCCCCTGCAGACCATGGTGAGGCAGCTGTGCCCCTGTAGCCCATGGAGGACCATGGGCATGCAAAGCTCTACCAGCAGCCCCTGGAGAAGACTCTCACCAGAGCAGGTGAATCCCTAAGAGAGGGCTGTGAACCTGTGAGAGGCTCATGCTGGAGCAGGGTCCTGCAGGCACCTGTACACCTGTGGAGAGAGGAGCCTATGCTGGAGCAGGTTTTCTGGTAGGACTTGTGGACATGCACTTTAACAGGCTGCTCTTGAACAGCATCCTGTGGAAGAGTGAATCACACTGGAGAAGTTTGCAGAGAACTCTCTGTGTGTGAAGAGCCCCACCCTGGAGCAGAGGAAGGGCTCCTCTCCCTGAGCAGTGGCAGAAGCAGCACTTGATGAACTGACCGTAACCCCCACTTCCCATCTCCCTGTGCCAAAGTATGGCTGAACATAAACATTACTTTTTATCTGCCTGGGTGTCCTACATCTATGTTTTGCAAAATATGCAGTTCTACTTGAAGATTTATTATTATTTCTGTAACTTTTTCTCTACAGCATGCTAAAATCATGGTTGTCTTTTAATTGTATCCCAAGGCCTTTGACTCTTCTTTTTGGAGAAGTTTCCACTTTGTGTTGATTCAATCACCTTGCAGATAGGCATAAGTGAAATTTATAGAAGGTAGCAGATTTGGTGAAGGAACTTACTGTGACCCAAAGACATAAGCTCTGTTTGTTATTTATATTAATATTTGTGGTTTGAGAGCAGGATGCCAAAGTATTTGTGGGGGAGATAAAAGTCATCTCCTGCAGTTTTGGCTGTCATGTCAGGGCACAGCCATAGCTGGGGACCAGGTGCTGCAGCACTGTGTGATGCCAGCTGCCTCCCTCCATGGAGTGCCAGTCCACGCCAGCTAAAAGGGGAGGATGGGAAGTCAGGAGCTGTGTCCTTATGTGACACTGGGAGTCAAGCAGGGAATGGTAGCAAAATTCAGGTTGCTGGCAACATATATAATGTTTTAGGTGTCTTTTTTCCCTATAGTGGCTTTCAAAAGCATAGATGTAGGAGCTTTTAAAAAGCATAAAATAGAGGGTGGTATCTATCCCTCCCTAGTAAACTTGACTAATACCTTTGCCTTGTCAAAATGCTGAATATAACTCAAACCTTGAAGTCCAGGAAATGATGAGGTTAGGGCCAGCACAGATCTTAATATAATCTTAGTTATGCCAAGGAACTGATTATACCCATTGGAACTGCTCAGTAACATTACTATTTATAATAAGCAGGTATGAGAAATTGAGAAAGTATATTTTTGCTTGCATTTTCAGCTTTTATTGTATATGCTCTGGCTTCAAGTAGCTGGGAAATACTTCAGCAGAGCACAGCATAGCTGTTAGCTCACAGCAAGTGCTGCCTTTGGGGAGCAAGTGCACCTTTATAAGGGTGGGATTTGTTAGGCTGCAATGTTAATGACAAGGTTTCTTCTCACGTGCATTGCCAGTGATGTGATGAGATGCGATGTGACAGTCAGTTGTTTGTGGGTGCGATGAGATGTCACAGAATGGAGGAATCCTCAGATCAAAGGGGGAAGATTTGTAGCATTTAGTGCAGCTGAGAACATTTTAAAATGTACAGCAGCAACAAGCTCATTTGCTTTAGATGACTAACGCAAAATTGGATGTGGCCCATGGTGACTGTACTTTCTTCCTAGGAGGCTTGTAGGGTTTGTAACATGGAAATAAAAGGTTCTCAAAGAAGATTTCAGCTGCACTTTGGGGCTTGTATTACCTTAACCTCTTATTTCCATTTAAATTGTGAGGATTTTGCTACCCTTCACATTTCTGAAGGATGTTCCCCTGCTTACTGTAAGGTCTTCTGCCACTTTGTACATTAATTACATTGAATAAATTTTTTTTTCAGTACTGTCGTGCAACAGATTTTCTTTATTAGGACAGGGAAGGCATATGTGTAGGAGTTTAGCAATGTGACCTTCCCCTGTGATACAGGGGACCCAGATTTCAATTCCTTCAATATGAAAGACAGAAACAGGCATAGTGTTGAAATCAGGGTTAATTTTGTATTCATCTACTACTCTGTCTCAGGTAGGGCCAGTACTAGTTGAATAAGGTATAAACAGCTCAGCAATAGTGCTTTGGTCTTTCCAGCTTTTTCCTGTCTGCCTCTTTATGTTAAGTAATGCTTGATGTGCTTTACTTACATAAATTCTTTTAATGGGAGATCAGATCTGTCATGTCTCAGAAGGCAGACTCAATTCCTTTCATACAATAAAAGGGGAAATATGTATGCGAGGCTGCAGCTGGTGGTGTTCAGAGGCTGATCCCAGGCTGGCTTGGCAGCTGCTTCCTCCTCTTCAGACATGAGCTCAGGTCTCCATTGCTTCCTGGGGCATGGGAACTGCAAGTGAGTGATAAATCTAACAGAGAGTATGATAGGTGGTTTCTGTAGTGGTGTGACTTCAGGAGGGGATTCACAGTTGAAAAGTCTGAAAAAACAAAAATACTTTTCATAAGCCTGAAGGCAGTCAATACTGCAGTTACACCTTCCACTGACTACCACTTATCTCAGTATTTTCTGTGGAGCTTGTTCAAAGGAGCCTTGTGGGAAGAGGTGAATCCCAGTGAGGTTCTGGAAGCTGCAGCCTCACAGTCTCTGTGAATTAAGCTGTCAATGGTTTACTTTAGTTTCATTGTGTTTGGTTCAGTTTTCTCTGAGGGGGGTGAAGACTCTGCAGGGAAACAGAGCCCTTCCCACATACTAAACGTTGTCTGAAGCAATCTCAGATTCAATGTACAAGTGCAACTTGGCCTCCCTGACCTGTGGTGGCTGTCCTACGGGTTGTCTAGCATCAGATGCCCACCTGCCTATGACCCTTTCTTTTCTAGTGCCTGACATTGCTCGGCACAGCTAGAATTAAACCCTTAATAATGCTTTCATTAGTGCTTTTCCAGTGGGACACTGGGTGTGAGCAAATTGCAGGGTAAACTGAGCCAGTAAAGGAGTTCTGGAATACTTGCAAAATCATTCTTTTGAGAGAAGAGACCTGAGCTCCCTGGGATTTGCTGGGTCTGGAAGCACTTGATAATGTTAGCTTAAAGCCTTTCCTCCCCTGCAATACTTTGCTTTCTTCCTTTTGTCACACAACCTTCCCCTGCTATCTCTACAAAAAGGCTTTCATGCAATCTGGCCCGTCAGCTGTTGCTTTTGTGCATTGTGCTGGATCTGGGATAAAGCGTAAGCTCTTCAGTTCTGATGCTGTACAGTGTGGCATGAATGCTGATGGTGCTCTGGTTAACAATGAGGCAACCAAGCAAACGTACAATTAACAATAACTAAGCAGATGTGAGAACAGTGAGTTCCTAGAAGTAATTGCATTTTCCTTTTCTTTCCCCTTTCAAAGCTGCTCACCTCAGTATTTTCACTATCAAAAACTGCATGGTTAGGAAACAGACTTGTGTGTAGACATCAGTATTACAAGATTTGTCTTCAAAAAGCCAATTAGTGCTTGAAGTAGAAGCTAATCTACTTCACAAATGTAATTCCCATCCTTTGCCTTACAATCTGCAGCAAGCAACCACACTGCTGAACATCTTTTTGAGAAAGAGCAAGCACTGGTCTGTTTCTGTACATCTTTTCTATGTGTTTCTATTTCGAGAGGTTTTTTCCATTAACCTAACGTGTGTCAGTGTGACCACTGTGTGAAGACAGAACAATCTGCTGCAGCAGAGCTCCTCCAGGGAGATAGCTTAATGAGCCCTAGGATGAGTTCTTAAGTAAAGGAAGTGAGAAGCTGTAGAAAAGAAGCATAGAAAAGAAAGATGTGACATCTTTGGAAAGAAGAATATTACTTACCTTGTAGAGGGGAGCAATTATATTACACACTGCAGACATAAATAGAAAGCCATTCTATTGTGCATTGTGAGACACAAGTTGAGCATCCATCCTGATTTCCCTTTCTGTAATGAGCAATTAGAAATTGAACTCACATGGATCTCTAAAATACAGAACCAAAAAGCCCCACCCATGCTGTAATCACCATGGTGCTGACAGAACCTCCCCAGTTCAGATCAGCACTAAGACCACATCTATCCTCTTGAGAAATGTTTTGTACGTTAGTTTGCTTGGGTTTTACCCAATACCCGTTTGGTTTATGGATGAAGGCCGTGTGGCACTGTGAATAAATGTAGCATGTCCTCTGCAGCTCTGTTTTCAACACTTTTTAGAACTGACTAGATGTATCAGTACGGGCACTAAGAATCTTTACTTGTAGCAGCATCTGTGTCTAATTTTGAGAAGGGCCAAAAGCTGCAGTTAGGACACCATGTGATGTAAAAATTGAGATACTCCAGCTCCGGCTGTAATGAGCACCCTGTCAAGTTGTATCCACCTCTGGAAGCAGAGGGGAGGAGAAAATAGAAAATTAGGGGCTATCGAGCTGAAAACAAAAGGCAGTGCATGCATGGATTGACCTCTCTGTGTTCTTCCTTGACAGGTTGATGACGCCTGGGAGCGAGATTCGGTTTGTGCACAAGCGCATGGGGCTGGTGCCGGGCTGGGGAGGCGGTGGGCGGCTGGTGCGGCTCGTGGGCAGCGGGGCAGCGCTGCAGCTGCTGGCCGGGGCTGAGCGGGTGGGCCCCGAGAGGGCGCTGGGGCTGGGGCTCGCCGAGCTCACCCTGCCCTCCGCGGATGAAGCCGCGGCGCTGGCAGAGGCCCGCGCCTGGCTCCGTCAGTACACGGACGGTCCGGCCGCCGTCGTTCGGGCCGTGAAAAAGGTCGTGACAGCAGCAAGAGAGCTCCCACTGGAAGATGCCCTAAGGACAGAGAAGGACATTTTCGGAACTGTATGGGGTGGGCCTGCCAACTTGGAAGCGTTGGTGAGAAGACCAAAACATAAATGATGGTTTATGCATAAGAAATAGGCTTGACTTTTTTGCAAACAAAGCTTTCAGTAAAGCAGCCGTTAAGCTGAATCATTTAAGGACTTGTCTATTTAAAATGGCATTAACATTCCTGCCATTTAGGTCAGGCAGGCATATTTGGTGTGCAACCACAGAGAAATCCCGGGCAGATTCTCTGCTGTCCTAATCACCCACTGAATCGAGATTAGTGAAATTACTATGTAAAGGTAAATACTGTTCTGAAAATAGAACTATAATTCATTTGAAATGAGGCTGAAGATTATTTTATTTGGTGTTTTGTTTTGATTTTTAACTAGTATGGAAATTAATTACTTCAAAGATATGAGGTTTATTCATTTGCAGAACAGGTGCATCTAAAGCTGCAAAATGAGTTCCCCAACCAGTGTCTTTAAGCAGGTTGGAAAAGATGATTACTAGTGGGAGGATAGCTTTTATTTTTTTCATTCTAGTTAGTTCTTTGTGCAATTGCTGAGAAAGTATCCTTTTAATTTTAATGGTGCTTTTACAGGAGAAGCTTTGAGTTACTGAGAAAATTTTAGCAATCATTCGCTATCACTGATTCAGGCTTTAAAATGTATTTTTGTGTCTTCTCACTGCTCAAGGAATCAACTACCCACACATGCATCTGCACATTCCCATATCTTGTACCTGTGCAAAGCTGCTGGCCTGGTTCTTTACACAGAATCTGGTTGAAATCTTGGAAGGCAATGATGTATCATGTCCCAAAAAGGTTTGTCCTTAGGTGACTGGGTGATGTGAGTTGTTCAGCATTCTGGTAAGATGTGAATGGATATGTCTATGTCTTTCTTCAATGCATTTTTACTGGTAGGGTATATTTGGGCTTACTAGAATGTTTAAAACTCAGTCTCCCCTTCATGCCAGTGACTATGCAAGTAATTGGATAACTCAGTAGGGAAAGTTTTCCCTTTAGAAATCAGAAACTGACACAGAGTGCCTGCTTTAAAAATAACATCTGTAAGAGCAAAACCATACAGACATATCTGTGACTGAGAGTTTCCTGTACTGTTGGTTAGGATGCACTTGTCTCTAAATCCAGCAGGGACTGAGATCTGAGCCAAGGACCTGAGTACTCTGTGGAAGCATGTAGAGAAGGAAGCTCTGGGCTTTGTGCCATTGACATGCCTTCTTGCTCTGACCAGGCATAACTAGCTCAAGATCATGGAACGAGCTCCCTTAAGAAAATAAGGCAGTATCTTGGATGGAAATCCATGTTACGATTTCTAGTGTGGCAGGAGTCCTGAGTTTTAGACAGTGAGGTAACTGCATATGTTTGAGGACTTGGGGACAAAATAATGTTGGGAATTAGGCTTGGATTGCCTGTTAATATTCTTTAAGTTTTGAGCAGATTCTGTGATCTGCTGGGGATGTTTTACTGTGTGCTTTTCACAGCAATGAATGTAGTGTGAAGCAACAAAGAGAAATGCTGAGGAAAGAGATGTGTTTTGAGTTGGCATCTCAGAAAAGATACGGAACTTACCTCCCCCCTGTTGATCCTGCATCTTTGCCTTAGTATCTGGAGCGCTAATGGACGAAGATTTAAAATCTCTCTTCCCCAAAAATAAAGTTCAAATTTTTCTTTCAGGTTAGAGAAGACACACGAATGAGAACATGGGGAATAGAGTAGTGTTTTAGTTTGTGCCTTTCTCCCCCTGGCTCCTTTTTATCCAGTAGCCCAGTGGTTACTTCTGTGTAGCTGGATTCTCTCCCATGCCCTAAAGAACTTCAAAACTATTACCTCGGAAGAGCAAATGCTTTAGTATAATCAGGCAGCACTTGACTGTTTAGTAGTGAAGCTGTTCTGCTTTTCATGAAGTTTCTCAAGACTCATGAGGGATTCCAGAGAGCAGCATCACTGAACCTTCAAGGCACACTCCAGTCCATACTTTTTGAAGCAATAGCACATAATGTTGTTGTGAGTCAAAAAAAAAAGTTTTAAAGGGCAACTGATTATGTCTTTGCTTTTAGCGAGAACAAATGTGCCATTACTAATACTGTTATTGTTTTTAAAATTGATGTGAAAATTACTTAGAACCTGAGTAAGACCCTTGAATCTTTTTTTTCTCTGGCATATTATGCTCCTAAGTGTATTCTGTGTACTGAGTTATAAAAATTTGAGAGGGAAGAAATTGTAGGACAAAGGCAGAATCTGGTTTCTTTCACATTTTGAACCAGATCTGTGCTGGCAGTTAGTGAATGGTAAGTACACCTCTGGGGCATCTCTTTCCATTTTGATTTATAGACAATGAGCTTAATTCTCATTTCAGCAAGTGTATTTTCCCAGCCACTCTTTCTGATTTGTATCAAAGGCCAATGTTTGCTTCTAAGAAAACAGGACAAATAACTATTACACACCAAGACACATTCAGAACTGTTCCAGAGAGGGTTATGGAAACCCATATTGCTGGTATCATAAATATACCAAGCATAGGTACAGGACATTCTGAAGAACATTACAGGCTGTGATCAAGGATTTTGTGAGTAGTCTTATACCATATTCTCTTACTATAAAAATAGAGCCCTTCATACAAAAACCAGCCCAGCTAAATTACCATGAGTGCTAGGATGAAAGTTCCAGATTGAGATGAAATGGAATCCCATTTTACCCATTTGAAAGCTAAATGCTTTATTTCACAGAATACTTTCTTATCATCTTTAAGTGGCAAATATCTTTAACCAGCAGTTTTTAAATGTTTGTATTTTCTTTACAACTGTTAAAGATGTCAAGCTTCATCTCAGGGGTGGTTTTCCCTTTTGAAATGGTTTAAAAACAAGCACTAAATGCGCAAAATAAATTAGAAACATCAAAATTGATAGTCCCAGTCCCCTAATTAAATAGCATGCCAGCTTTTGTATTTCCTAGGGGCCAGTTTGCCAGCTTCCTCCTCAGCAAACTAAGTTTCCTATTACATTGTGAAATGTCTGTTTTGTTTTTCTTCTGTGTACTGGGCCAGCCCAAGGGTTTAATGGGAGTGTGGATTCCATACCAAGCCTGTAAAGACTGGATACTGGAGATCACTTTTCCCAATACAGATACTTCTATCTTATTTGCTGCTGATAAAAATATATTTACCCGATGGTCAGTCTAGATAAGCACGGTGTTCTTGCAGAATGCTTGGGTCCCTATCTGATTTATATTTCTTTTAACCATGAAATAGGATTCCTATTTCTGTATCTGTATCTGTGGTTATCTGTTCTGGAAATGATGAAATGCTGTAGATTTTATAGTATTTAAATTTCCTTTCTCATTTTCCCTTCTGGTCCACTGTGCATTTCTCTGGCTATGCTGCACAAGTTGAAAATCATTTAGTGCATGGAATTACAGTCAACCACATAATGCAGTGTGGCTGTGGCTTTGCTAAAATGGACAGAGAACACATTTCCTACTGAAAGTAATGGTTTAAATATAAGATGGGAATTATCAGTTGCTACTTTTCCCTAACTTGATCTGGGGAGTGCATGTGCCACTCTGATGGCTGGCTATTAAGGTCTTAGCAGCCTTACTTTAACTAATTTTAGTGTTTCACAGCTGCAGTCAGCCAGCAGGAGCCAAAAGCAGCATCATGGGTGTGAGGCTGAACACTCTACTTGGGTCAAAAACCCCAAGGATAATCACTGATAGAATTATTTTTAGACTGTTTGGGCTGTAAATCCTAAAGCATATAATAAGTCCTGTTCCTCTGTTTTCTTTCTTGCTTTTTTCAACCCATACTCTCACATGAAGCATGTGTACATAGCTGAAGTGTTCTTTGTGAAGGCCTTTGCAGGACTAAGTCATACTTTGGTTACAGCCACTGCATACTAACACAAATCAGAGAAATAAGACAGCTGGCAACTAACAGAGAAAAAAGCATTCCACCCAGTTTCCTGCCTGAAGTCCATGTAATTGGCATATTTCCTTATGGGACTGGAAGATGATAGTGAAATTCTGTGATCAAGAGCATTTATTCCTAACTGAGAATGAAGGAAATCTTCCTTATTCCATCCTAGTTTCACCTGCCATTTTGTGACCCACTGATCTCACCTGTAGGCAGCAGAGGACGGGCACAACTTTGTCCAAGATCAGACACATCATCCATCATTACAGTAAGAAGAACGTTACAGATGTTTAAGTCTACCATTTTGAAAAGTCAGCCTTTCAATTCCCTTCAAACAGTTGTTTCCTTAAGGCAACTTCTGTCTTAAGATCAGTAGTACCTATGTATCAGCTACTGTTCCTTTCTATTCCGAGATACAGATACTAAGAATTGGAGTTTAATTAGCTTTATTTTAAAATAAAGTCCAGAATCAACTAATGCTGTTTCTCAGTCTGAAAAAAATGTTAAAAAACTGTTAAAGAACAGAGAGATAAAAGACAAGCTGTGTTTCTCAAGATCTGGCTTCTAACATTCAGAAGTCTGTTGAAATGCTACACTGCTAATACAAGCACAAAACTACAATTCCTGTGCTGCCGCCATGCTGTTTTTGTATGAACAGAAGAACAGCTGTAATATCCATGTCCTTTGTTATAGGGTCAACTTTGATAACTTACCCTCTTTTATCAACATTTCTGCTGTTAAAATAAGGCTTGTGTGTGGTAATTCTGCCTGCCATCAACAGTGAAGTGAGTTAATCAGCTCTTCAGATCTCTGTGAGTATTAAGCTTGCAACTCAAGATTGTTCAGTAAAAGATGAGACGCCTACAGCCGGTGTGTTTGAGAGACAGCCAGTCAGGGATGCCACTCAGAACTAGTCCTCCCTTGTGGTAAACATGGGAAGCTGCTTTATGATCATTTTCTTTGAAATTCCTTCAGTCAAGTTCAATTAAACTGGAAATGTATCTGAGATTGTTACTGATAAAATGTAGTTTTATTAAATTATAAATTCTGTAACAAAAACAAGACAGATCAAGAAAGATCTCAATAAACAAAACTACAAGGACTAGATGGCAAAGCCAGTGAAAAAGCCATGGAGAGTGTAAAGGTAAGGATTTCCAACACAAGTTAACAGCATTTTTACATTTCCATTGAAAGAAGGTAAATGATTGCTCTTGTCTAGTAAAAACACATTTTAACTCCAAACTCACATCTATTTTCTCACATTAAATTAAGCATCCTGCTCACACCCAACACCTTGCCTGATTCCACATAGCTTTAGTGTTCTTTTCATACATCAATCCATGCAGAAAGTAGTAAGACACTTAATGCAACAGTCAGATAATGAAGACAATTCAAGTTGTACAGTAGATATACATTGGCCAAAAAGGGATAGAGTATCTTCAAGGGGAAAATGCTACAAAATAGACACAAGACATTTTCAAGAAAACTGGGCATTGCTAAACAGCTTTCAAACCATTAACAGGACAACCCAGTTTCCTAGAGTTAAGAGTCTTCCAGCTGAGACATGTTAAGAGACTTAAGTTAAAACAGGCCAAATCTCTTTTCTCCCCTTCACCCCACCCTCCCACCAAACACGCTGCTAGGTTTGAGTGCAATGCCAATGGGGACAGAAAATTTACAGAAAATTACAACTGAGTTTTTTTTTTTCGCATGGCTCTAGATTTAAACTTCAGTGACTGTGCACTGTCCATCTGGCCTTCTAGATCTTACACTCGTGTTTGCCACCCCACCCCCTGCCCCTGGTCTATCTGCTCCTGCCTGGCTTGCAGCAGCACTCAAGTGTCTCTGCTGACCAGAGGACAGG